TAGGCCCGTTTAGTTCGTTGATTCGAGTTTTTAATTCGAGTTAAGATGTGACTTTATGTGAGAGCTTTTTACTGTAGCAAAAAAGTTAGATGTGATTGTTTGTAAGAGCTTTTTACTGTAGAAAAACTCGAATTCTAAACTCGAATCAGCGAAATCAACGGAGCCTTTGTTTTTTTATTTTTTTATTTTTTTTATGTACTCAAGAATCAAGATTGCGGCTACGAATTAGAAATTCATGTGAAATTTGTACTTTTCCTTGAGTTAACAGCTGATTTTGACCTTGAATTGACGAACTTAATCTTTGTGACTTATGTATAAATCTATAAATAAACAGTATTTAGGCGTCGTGTTTAAAAAATAAAGAGAAAATCGTTAAATTTATTTTTCAACTGAGTTGCAAAAGAAAAATTCATCAATTATTGACATGAATTTGTGAGTAATAAGTGTTTGGTAACATGTTTATCAATAAAAGAAAAATAAAGAGTTATTAGTGTGTGGTAACATGTTTATCCATAAGCTGCAAAGGACAAATTCAACAAGTTATTGGCATGAATTTGAATACAGAGGTACAATCTTGAGCACATCCAAAATATAACGTACAGAGTTTTGATACATGTAAAATGCAAGATGTACACTATATATGAGAGAGAATATTCCAATTAAGAAATGGAATAAAGAGAGAAATAGGCTAAGACTTGAGATGAATTAAAATTAATAGGCCAATAGTTTACATAAGTTAATAAATAGGTCAAATTACTGTTTTCGTCCATAACTTGTCTGGTTATGAACCATAACTTGACAAGTTATTCACGGTTTTTGTCCATAACTTGTCTGGCTATGAACCATAACTTGACAAGTTTATCTATAACTTATCTGGTTATGAACCATAACTTAACAAGTTATGACCTATTAATTTCTATAACTAAAAATTGACTTATATACTTTCTTAAGATTTTCATATTGGCCTATTTTCTATTATTTCCCTTAAGAAATCTCCCTACTTTAAAACTACACTCCAACCTGGGCATTTGGGCTTGGTCATGATCAACCCAAGGTTCAGCCCATGAGTTGGAAAGTTCCTTGTTGGCCCAACCAGATTTAGGATTTCTCCTACCTAATAAGTTCACTGATCGACCACCATTTTCCATTTCCTCTTGGGCCTTAGCTAACATTTTTCGTCCCTAAAAGATCCGAGAAAATTGCAAAAACTGACGCTTAAACACTTTTTTTTGTTGTTGAAGTTTTACCCTTTTGTTATGATAGGGTATTCTTTTGATAATAATCTATCAAATTATAGATAATAATTTGTCAAATTTTTGATAATAATCTGTTTATGCCCACCACTAGTGACCGGAGACCCACCGCTGGCGACATCTATCAAATTATTTAGTCCAAAATGGTAAAATTTAATAGGCCAATGTTGAAACTCAAAAATCTTTAATGGTACCATTTTAAAGGGTATTTATCAAAATTATCCAAAAGATTTTCCAATTATGATTTGGACCTTTTATATGGTTTTAAGTACAATAATTTTGAGATACAGGTGCTTTAGTGGAAGAAAATACAATTAACGGTTTTTTACAAAAAATACGTTGCGGCCACTCATAAACACCATCTCTAATTTTGCCTTGCAAAAGTATTGCCCCCGTACACAAATCCTTCACATAAATAGAATTGGGTAAGAATCCTATAGAGGCAATATTATTAAGGCAAAACTGAGAAATAGAAATCAAATTTTTTTTCATGTCAGGAACACAGAACATTTGACAAAATAAAGAATTTAGAATAAGAAGAAAGATTTATAGATTCGGTGTGGGTGATGGAGAAACTGGTTCCTTCACCAATCATGATGTTATCAAAACCACTACAGTTAGGGCTACGAGAGAGATTTTTAAGGTCAGCAGTGACATGGTGTGATGCTCCGGAATCAAGAAGCCATTGAGATGTGGGTGATGGTGAGGGAGAGGAAGAATGAGGTTGGGGTGATGATTGGCAGTTTCTTGGCATGCATTTAAAAAATGGGCATCGCTTGGCGGGAGTGGCCTTGTTGTTCACAAAGTTGACACTTTGGACAAGGTAAGGTCTTGGATTAGGATTTCGGGTAGAATTGTGAAATGTGTTTTGACGAAAATTGTAATGGGGTTGGCATGTATTTTGATTAGTGGATTCATCCATTGGGGTGGTGGTTATTTGTGTCACTTTCAAAATGGAGGTAACAGCGAATATAAGCCTAGTGGTGGTGGGACCTTTGGTTTGTCCACCTTTTAGTTTTAGGTGCGTTGACTTTAAAGGGTCATTAATCTTTTCAAAGTTTTTGCTGGTACTAACAGAAGCGATGAAGGGATTCCCAACTTTCCTAATTTTTTTTTATTTTTTTTATTTTTAAATTGCTCTTTCTTGCAAACAATAATTGTTGGTGTCGTTTGTTTTCTCCAATTCAATAATTGCCATCGTCGTTGCAGCACACACCACCAAAGTGCTAAGCGTACCTCACGTGTGGATATGGATTTCCTAAATTAGTCTTTTTTATGTCCCGTTTAGTTCACTGATTTGAGTTTTTAATTTGAGTTGAGATGTGACTTTATGTGAGAACTTTTTACTGTAGTAAAAAAGTTAGATGTGACTGTTTTTAAGAGTTTCTTACTATAACAAAACTCAAATTTTAAACTCAAATCGGTGAATGAACGGAGCCTTAATTATAAATTTTGAAAATTTCTACACTCGAGGCACCTCACTGATATGGTTATTGTCTAGAACCATACCATTTAAATCATACAATATTTATGAAGCATGCGTAATAACGTTGTCTAAGAAATTTTTCTATAGTATCCGACCCTATATAATATGTACCGTCTAATTTAAAGCTCACCTCACCATAGAAATTTCTATTATTTCCCCTAATATTGAAGAACGTTGATAAGCAAAATTTTGGTAAAAGGAAGATCTAACTGTTCATTTTTGGGCTTGTGGAAGGCAAGTGGTACGTGGTATAGCTAGGCTTTGAGGCACACTGCAGATTGTGGCGAGAGAGTCATCCAGCATTAATTTTGCCATTGGGGGCCATAAACACTTCGATCAATGAATAGGAATTAAGAAACCTTCCAAAAATGCTTCCTTTGAAATGTCTAGTCGTACGTTGACCCAAGAAGACTCGTAAATTCCACGTGCGTATTTATATATATATATATATATATATGGTAGTAAATATATATAAGTCACTCGTCTAATATATGCTTCCTTTAAAAATTCTTCCATATATATATATATATATATATATATGTATATGTGTGGCCATGGGAAGGTATCTGTCTTAATTTCACCAAATCACTCGGTTTCCCCTATTGTCCTTTGAGTAATTATACTCGCACTGAATTAGTTAGAGGTAATTATAGTCTATAAAAGGTTAAGGACAAGCTTAAGCTTAGTTAATCGGCATATCATGCCAAAAGTGGAAACATCATGTGTAACCACTTAAACCTTGTGAAACATAACATGACACCATCCACCAATCGAACGAAAAGGCTGATATTCTCTTGCATGACCTAGAGAGACTTTGGTTAACTGGGTTTCTGTTTTTATAATAAAATGATATATAGAATGAATTTTCTTCGAATCATCGACCATTGGAGAAGGTAATGCACGTTTTTGGCCACAAGAAGGAGAATATATATATATATATATATATATTGTCG